TGAGCTCAATTGTAGTATCCTTGTGCTATCTTCTTGCGTCTACTTGATGCTAGCAATGAAATTTCTGTCATCTAAAGAAGATATATATTTCCTTAAGTTTATGCTTCCACTTACTGAGTATTTTTTTCACTACAGTGTATTGCTAGCCATATCATCAAGGTCCATGCATCGGCTGAGGCATCTAGGGATGACACTAGAACTTCTAAGGAGTATAATTGGTTGAAGAGGTTGGTTTCTAACCTGGCTTTAAGTTAAGCACTACACTATTGTTGTAATTGTCAAGGTCTGGATGTTGAAGCAATTGAGTTCCTCGTGCAGGTATATACAATATTGTCGGACCAATTGCCATCCACGACTATCACCCGCTGCAGCCTCAATGTTACAAGAGAGTTATGTCAAAATTAGGCAGGTAATTACATAATTGGGCTCCTGATGCTCAGTCTGCTGGATCACCAAATAATTAGGACCTATTTATTGAAAAAGTGCTTATGGGATGTATCAAGAAATTTCAAATACTGAGACTGAAATGAGGCGGCAATCAATGATATGTGCTTCTTCTGTTATCTGCTGCAGCAAATGAGGCGGCAATCAAATGATAGTGGGGGGGCAGCAGCAATACCAATTACTGTGCGGCAACTAGAGGCTATAGTGAGGTTGAGTGAAGCTCTTGCAAGAATGAGACTGTAAGTTAACCACGATTATAAGTAGTTTCTTCGTCTCTTGCATAGGATCAAGCTTCGAGGACTTGAATCATCCTGCTATTGACTATGCAATTTAAGACTGTTTGGGAAATCTCCTTTTTTCCATGTGTTTCTTTTCACTGTTTTCTTTATCCTTTTATAAGATTTGCCTACATAAACAGTTCTTTGATCAATAATCTACCTCTTTCTTATCATGATTTTAGCGCCCAAACTGCAAATGAGAATCACGTCACGGAAGCAATTAGGCTCTTCCAAAATTCCACAATGGATGCAGCACAATCTGGAATTAATCAACATATAAATCTCACTCCTGAGATGGCACATGAGATAAAGGTTTGCCTCTTGGCCAATCAATACTCTTATATTCCAGTTATATGTCCTTCTAGTCACCGTTTTGACGAAGATACTTTTTTCTCTATGAATAGCAAGCGGAAGCCCAAATTAAGAGAAGAATGGGTATTGGTAGCCATATATCAGAGAGACGGCTAATTGATGAACTGACTAGAATGGGCATGAACGAATCAATTGTAAGAGTCCTTCCACTGCTTCACTTATATACCATTTAGTCATCAATATTCACCTAGTTTCTCCATTTATTTGAATTTCTGGTGCTATCTGATTGACTTTCTTGATAGTAAGCCAGTAGAAGCCTCCTAAATTATTTTCAGAACAATATTCCTAGGCCACCTTGTATTGATGCAAGTGCTAAAAAATTGTCAGGTAAGGAGAGCGCTGATAATTATGCATCAAAGGGATGAAGTGGAGTACAAACGAGAACGGAGAATCATAGTCCGAAAAGCCTAATGATGTGCTACTTAAGCATTCTAAAGCACTTTCAGCAAATTCACATCACAAGGACAGTATCCCCAGTCAACTGGTCATCAAATCACATGTAATTTGATGATGTTAATGCCTTCAGCACAACTCAAGCAGAATTTTTAATTTTCGGAGCATAGTGTTTTGTGATATCACTTCCCAACACCTCTGTACTCTAGTGATAACTGCAGTGTCCAAGGGCAGGAATGCACATCCACTCGTCTCAAATGGTTTGAGTTATTTTGAGCCATCTAATATAACTTATGCCCACCAGGAATGTTTATGAATTCTGCACTTTCTGCAATTTCAGCAGAATTTGGAAGTGGATATTTATGTAATTTGGTTATCATGTAAACTCTAAACCTAAGCTTCAAATATTTAGTGCCAAATTTGCTCTTTGCTTCAACATTTTGTATTGTGGCATAAAGATTGCTTTCTTCAAAATCGAGAAGATAAATATCAAATGTGCTTGGAAGTCGGAGCTCAGCAGTTCACAACGTGAAAAGTTATGAGAAGTAAGGTTGGTTCAGTTATTATCAAAATCAAACTAAATCAACTATATCGGTTTGGATTGATTTGGTTTTGTCGGGTTTTTTATTACTTACATATTATTTCAATCTTACTTTGTTAAATATTTAATAAGCAAATACCTATGTAGTAAAAATATAAAAAATTGACAAACATATTATCAATTAAAATATTCTTATGGGAGAATTCTATTAGTAATACATGATAGTTATTTTTTTTAGTCTTCTTGCAATAATTTTTCGTTGATATATACTTTCAGGTTAACTGAATTTAGTAATTAAACATAAAAATCAATATGATACCTAAATGTTAATAACCACTTTATATTTGAAAAAGATATAAGAATTTAATAGATCTTAACATATGATATGAATATGAAAGAACAAAGAGATATACGCATTTCAGTAACACTTGATAAGAAAGTAATCATACAACCTACTATTATTTAAGGTCAATAAAATATGGAGCACTTCATATTCTATTAAAATTTATATCACGTGATAGAATCCCAAATATTTCTAGACGTTTTTAAAGAAAATTCTATATAAAATCTTAAAAATATATATATAAATTATATATTTATATGTTGGGTTGGTTCGGATTTTTTTACTCAATACCAAACCAAATCAAAGTAAACCAAGTCAAATTTTTAAATCGGTTTGGTGCGATTTTTCGATTTGGTTTGTACACCCTAATGAGAAGTATGGTTATATTTCATTACTGTTTGAGTATTTGGTAACTGATCACGCCCAACTATGCCTTATAAAAAGGACAATGCGGTCGTTGCAAATATAATCCGGTTTACAAGTCCGGAGTTGAATCCCACAGAGAACTAAGGTTTAGCTACAACTGTTCACTATCACCAAGAAGACAAGCTTGAATAATTCCTAACTTATAGATATTAAGATTCTTGTGTTTAACTAATTAACTAATAAATTAAAATAGTAAATTAACAACTAACGATACTGAGGGTTAGAGAAAAGATTAAGGAGGTCTAGAGTTATGATTTCTCCTATTGTCGGAATCCTTCCCGCTATGTCTTCTATAATTTCGCCTAAGTATTCTCTACCGATCATGAGCACTCTTATTACCGTAAATCTCTCCCGAGTAATTACGACAATTTACTAGACGCACTCTCCCGAGCTACGCTAGCTGGCTTTTAATACAGCTCACTTCAGATCGCACCCAAGGCTTCGTTATCCCTAATCCCGCCTTTAAACCCTCGGTTATTGATCCCTCATATACTCTGGGAGTGGTGTTGTTCAACAATTACCTAAATATGCACTCTCTCCCGAGTTATGCATACTAAATAGGCACAGCTAATTGAGAGCTCTTCAACCAACCACAATATAAACGTAGTTGAACAAATAGACAAAAGCTATGGCTCAATTATATAAAAACATAACAAGAATTTATCCTACAAAAGGTTCTATCAAAACTCTAGATAACAAATTAGCTATTCATAATTGTATGTAAAACTACAATACTAAAACTCATAACCAACAATGAAAAATAGGAAGAGGAAGGAAAACCCCGTAGAAGAATTCTCCGCCTTGCTCCCAATGTGTTCTTGCCTCCAAGGGTGTTGTCTAACCCTAAAGTAGTGTCTCTCCGCCTGCTTAGGTCTAATTTTGTGTCCAAAATATGCCCCCTTCTTGTTCTTGGCCGGCCTCCTTTGTTTAATATAGGGTTTAGGACATAAAATCCCATGTTTTGCACTTTAGTCCCTGAAATTTTCGCTTCCTGCCGCGGTTTTGCCGCGGTCGCGGTGGAACCGCGGCCAAACATGCCCTCTGATTCTTCAGTTGTCCGCGACCATCTTCTACCGCGATTCTGCCGCGGTCGCGGCAAAACTGCGGTTTTTCACCCTGTTCCTTTTGGAATTTGGAAAAACGTGAAACATGAAAGTTGTAGCCCTTTGAGTTAGCTTTCCAACCATATATTGTGGAGCCCAAATGGAGTTCTGAGCAAAAAGTTATGTCTATTTTACTGGACAGTGCGCAATATGCCTCCTCAAGTCTTCGTTCGTACTTAATTATCAAATTTGACCTCCGAACACGATCCCGGCTTAATTCCTTGAGCTTTTACTCAGACTTTAAAGCTTCAAATCACTTAAATTCATTCCATAACATATATATAGCTCGGAATCACACCTACAAGGCATAAAACATACAATTAGTGCAAAACACTAGCGATTAAAGCGCAAACTCAATTAAAGTGCAGTAAATTTAAGTGTAATAAGCGACTAAAATATACAATTATAGCCTATCATCAGTAACTTGATATGGATTCTTATGTGGATACGGAAGATTCAAAGGCGTTGAGCAAAGTTAACATTTCTCGTTTAAACAAATCTTTACTGTACAAAATGAAATCATAAAGTTTAATTTCATCCTTAATCCAAAATGGGTTCTTAATTGAGATGGATTTTGAAACATTTCCAAAAATGATTCAGGTCAATTAAAAAATCCATAGATTATCAGATGGACAAACAGTCTTTGGTGTTAAGGTGCAGTCCGATTTTTTTTTCAGAGCAATTTTCATAGAATTTAACAAGAGAAAAAAGATTTTTGAAACTTGTGGTCCTAAAAGCTTAAAGAATAAAAGCTTTGTGGGATCAATGACATTTGTGTTATTATAAAAGTTTTCACTAAGTTAATAAATAAAATAAAAAGTTTGAAATTAAATTATTTCCAAAAGATAGGAATGTGTGTGTGTGTATATATATATATATATATATATATATTTTTTTTTTTTTTGAGTGGACTAATAAATATAGTATGTCATATAAAAAAATTTCAACTTAAGGCGCATGACAAAAGAAAAGGTGTGTAAAAAGAATATCTATACAAGTTGAGGGATATTTCAAAATCTTTAGAAACTTCAAGGATCTTAAATTAATTATCCGTTTTTATAACCCGATATGCTGAACACAAATTCGGGTTAACGGGTTGGCTTAAACCTTAGAAACCTGCAACCAGACACTATTACCAATACCTCTACTAGATGTTAACAATGGCGCTTATAATCCAAAACCCAGCTGTATTTTCTATGAAATTATCAGCAAGTTTGGGCCTTCTACATTATTCTCCCAAAATGGTGTCTTCGTCTTCTTCCTTCTTCTCTGTCCGTTGCTATTCTGCTGTTTCGCAGAGGCCCCTCAGGTTAGTTAGTAAGCCAATATGGAGAGTGGACATTGCGCTATCTTTTTAGTCTCCTTTTTTTTTTTTTTTTTATAACTGAATTGGGTTTTGTTTGGATTGTATATTCAGATGTGCAGTTCTTGGTGCTGGATTTGCTGGGCTGTCTGTTGTTTGGCATTTGTTGCCAAGTGGTGTCCCCCCCCCCCCCCCCTCTCCGGCCCACCACTTTGTTTTTACGTACATTTCTTGCCTATGCAGTATGTGTTACACTTACTTGGCAGAGTTCATAATTCTGTAGTTAATCCTGTTCATAAAATTAGATTTTGCAAAGGGTTTAAGTTATATATACATTATAAGAAATTTTATTATATGGGGTTATATATTGGCTAATTACATGTTATTGTCTATAATAAGTGTGTTGCTAACCTGAGAAATAAGGTAAGCACCCTGTAAAAAATCTTTACAGTGTATTTATATACTCCCTCTATTCCAATTTATTTGACAATATTAATTTATTAGTCCATTCCGAAAAGATTGAGACAGTTGCGAATTTGAAAACAATTAATTTTAAACTTCCCACATTAAGAAGCTTTTATAGCAACACAAAAGATATGGTATTTTTTTATTTATTTTTTACGATAGCATCCGGGCCAGCTTGCCTGCACCTCGACAATTTTACAGGGTACCAGCTATTTCCGACCAGTACAGGTACCAGTAACTCTTCCTACCAAAGCTTAGGCAGATGGGAAGAAATCACGTAGTATTTGTTGCCTCCTCTAGACTTTGAACCTAAGACATCATGATTCTCCTCCCATTTTATTGACCATTATGTCTAAGACCACAAGTTTCAAAACTTTTATAGCCACACAAATGTTATGACATGTTAAGACCACAAGTTCTAAAAGTGTTCATTTGTTTTCTAAACTTTCGTGTCGAGTCAAACTATACCAAACAAATTGGAACAGAGGGATTTAGATCCTTTTACAATTGTTTTCTTCTCTTAGCAAATTCGTTTTATCCAAGTCTTTCATGTTAAATAATATAAGTAACCTACAACACAGGTTAAAGTACATTGACTGTCTAAAAAATCTTTATACTGTTAACTTATATAACTTAAATACGTTAACACATTAGTTGTATCTATGACTCTTAATGCTAAGTTACTTACTGAAGCTTCTTTTTTCTTTTTAGTTCAATTGTCATAGGCAGCTAAATACAGCCTGCATCTTTTAATTTATGTTTTGCAGCAAAGTTCTGAGGAACTGAATCTACGCATAGATATATATGATGAAGTTGGCATTGGTGGAGGTGCATCTGGAATGTCTGGTGGACTCCTTCATCCCTACTCTCCCAAAGGTGGATGTGAACTTTTTTAATAGGAAGAGACAAACTCACTTGGGCTTCAGAGTTCTTCTTTCAAATTCCTTACACTGTCTCTCAGCATTTTGGTTCCATAAAAAAAAAACTCTTTTTGAGATTTAACTCAAAATTTGCAGTTAAGCTTCTGTGGCGAGGAGAAGAATGCTGGAAAGAAAGTTTAAAGCTTCTAAATATTGCTGAAGATGCTCGATCTTTAGACATGGGAAAGCCAGAAACTGTAGCAAAAGAAGGTGACTTTATAGTCAGGAGAAGGTTAGTAGTGTAAAGCATGTTATATATAAGCTGCTAACTGCTAAGATGTCTTAATATATGCTTTTGGATATACTGGTAATGATTTCAATTTCTAAAAAAGTAAAAAAGTAATTTCCTTTCCTTTGGAGTTTCACTATAAATTACTGATAAGTTCTGTTTAAAAATCTTGTTTCCAACAAGTAAAGTAAAAGAAAAGAGGATGCTGCTCGCTGTTGCATCCTTTTCTTTTTTAACATGCATTTTTTTTTTGTGACATCCAATTTGTCGTTAGCATCACATCAACCATATCATTCTATTGACTTAGTGTAGTTTATACTTTAGTATTATATTAATATGTAATCATGATTGAGCTGCAGCAGGTTACCTGAGCATATAAGTGAACCTTTTCTTGCTTTAAATATTTCACTATCATTAGTTGGAAAACTGGCCCGTACACTTTAGTCGACCGATGCCCTGTACTCGAGCAGCTTTTGTTCCTTTGCGCTTTTACTTTCTTTGTATCGTATGGAAGACGTATAACCATCTTGTTACTCTCTAAGCAAATCGGTTTGTGATGATCAACAGTGGAATCGTGAGACCAGCACTCTCTGTGAAGAATATGGACGTGATGAATGATGTGAGTACATCAAATTATTACATGAAACAGGAAACTTATATGTAACTTCATGATTATGGGAATGTGTCTTCTTGTCCTTGACTAGAATGCTCAAAACTGCATTGCCAGCTGCAGAATAGAGTCGATTCACAAGGATGCTGCGCAGAAGCTTGTACCCGGTTTGTGTGTGCCTTTGGACTTGGCATTCCATATGCGTGAAGCTGTAAATGTTCATCCTCAGAATTATCTTGAGGTCTGGAGGGAGAAGTCCTGATAACTATAGAACTCTGAACTAGTCCCTATTCCTTTATTTCATTAAGGTGTTTTTACTGTTGATAATCTCTCAGGCTCTCTACTTAGCATGCAGAACTTTTGTGGAATCCAAGTGCAGTTCAGGCATTTCATGTAAAGAGTTATATTTGCACAAGAAATCAGTTCATAATCTTCAGGAATTAGCAGGTATGTTAAATCACCTTAGCTTCCTTGAACTTCAACTGTAGCTTGTATCACCAGAAATAATGTAGCCAAGAAGTGGGTTCCCATATACTAGTGCAGTAGCAAAACAAACATTTCTCCTTTCTTTTGTGTTTTCTTTTCTAAAAAAGGAAAAATTCTGTTAATGATAAATGTAAGAGCTTGCAACCTCCACTCTCCAGGTGAGCTATTTACTTACTTCATCAACAGAATGAGGGTAAAATTAATTAAGTTTATTCTCTTTTGTCCAATGTGAAGGGGTTATTAAGCTAACTGGGACGGTTGCATCATCACCCACTTTCCTTGCTTCCTAAACAAATAAGGGAATTAACTTTGCTGCTTCTCTTTGTACTCCTCAATGGTACTGTTAGGACTTAGACTTCCAACAGTGAATACCTTTATTTTGTGAAGAGTCTAGTCTAGGTCGGAGTTGGAATTTTTACCTATTATAGGTTTCTTTGGGCAGAATGTGCTAGTGTTTAAAGTAAACTGATCAATTATTTAGGCAATTTTCTATTTTTTGGTGATCCTGTCTAATTCTAGTGATTAGCATGTTCTTTTCAGGTAAATATGACAACAGACTGATCAATGACTTTAGGTGATTTTATTGTCTGATGATCTTGTCAATTTAAATGATTTGCATATTCTTTTCAGGTGAATATGATGCAGTGATCGTATGTGTAGGTGCTAGAGCAGCTTTTCTTCCTGAGTTCTCTGGAAGGCTTCCATTGAGGACATGTAGAGGTGTTATTGCTCACTTGCAGCTCCCTGATCACATCAGGTACATGTGTGTAACTCCCATATCAAGCAGAAGTTCCTTTTTCTTTTTCCTTTCAAATATGCCAAACCCCAACCCCATGCCTCTTACCCCCCCCCCCCCCCCCCCTCCAGATGATTCAAACCCCCTAACCTCATAGATTGAAGGTGGAAGGTTCTTTCCACTATGCCAACCCACTCTTGTCTCAAGAAGAAGAGTTCAAACCTTGAGAACTGGGACGTCTTAATATCTTTATAGTTTATACATCTCTTACATGGATATATCTACAGTATCCATCAGATATCTCCATTTTCTTGATATCCTCATTTTTATCCATACTTTATTTGCTAAATATTATAAAGAAAATATGACATTGATTGACTTTTGTAATTTTCCCATATATAATGAATATATTCCTTAGCAATGAAGTGGCATTTTTATGGGGAATACTGAAATATATCCTATCTTTAAATACGTCGATGTATTTACATTAGCCTTTCTTGATTGTACATTAGACGTCTTTCTTGATTGTACATTAGACTTTGATGACAATAAGTCTCTCATTATTGTGATAGGCTAATTATAATTACTTTCCCGTTTTCATACCTTGCATTTCATTCCATAGAGCAAGGTGTTTCAAATGAGTTGTTTACACGGGTTTTTCAAAAGCATGGTCACAATTTAGACTATTACCCCAAAAGGTAATGCACAGCTAAAAAACTGCTAATTCGGACTTTCTTCACGAAGTTATTCCAGCTCCTTGTGTCCCTTTATTCTTCTTTCTGGATAACAGAATATCAGTATACAGTAATATTTGTTTGAGAAGATTGAGTTTAGTTGGTTCTAGTATGATGGATTTGTTGCCTAGTTCAATTTTCAACCTACCATCACCCCCTCCCCC